AAATATAATAACGCAGTCACCGCCGCCGCCATCAACATCTTCAGTATCATCCGAATCGTTGTCTTCAGTAACACCAAGAATATCAACTAATCCCTTTTTGTGTAACAATTTGACAAACGGTGATACATTGAGTACATCAACAGCTGCTACGCACAAATTTGAAGAGCCTGGCAACAATATTGTGAGCAACGAGAACGATAACGACGACGAAGAAGAATTGCCTGTACCGACATATACGAGCTTCTACTATCATACAAGTAATTTAGCTAACGAACTACGAGGGCAACGTGAAGACAGACGCACTTACGAAATGCCACGTAAACGTACAAACTACAACAATCATCATCATGCTCATCATACAAACTCACAGCAGCAGCAGCAACAACAACAACACCAGCAGCAGCAATCACCACAACAATATACGCATTTGTCACAAACACAATTGATTGGGACTGTCAATCACCAACAACACCAACAACTCAACGGCAGTTCAAATCAAAATCCTTTTATTAAAGATAATTATTGGGAGACACGGCACAATATAACAGCTAGCAATGTACTCAATTCACCGACCGACTATAGTGGCAACGAAATTGAAATACCGGCAACAGCACAACCGTCAACAACAAGACGTGCATACCATCAACAAACATATAATGGCAATAATAATGGCAGCAATTATATGTCACGTCAACAACAAGAGCACCAACACCAACAACAACAACATCATATACGCGTTGGTCGTAGTCCTGTGAATCACAGCCAATATCATCAACAACAACAACAACAGCAGCAACAAACTGAAACAAGTAAACGTTCAAATGACCATCATTTGCTAAGCCAACAACAAACGCAAACACAAACAGTGCCAGGTGGCATCGAAGGAGTAACACAGCTCGTTAATCAGTATTTGTATGGCAGCAAAAGCAAGGACCAGCAGCACCAACAACAGCCTCAACAAAAACATCAACAGCAGCAAATGCAGCAGCAACAACAGCCAGTGGATGTACAACAGCAACAACATGTCGGTGTCAATATATGGGAGAAACGCGAAAAATTAGAGCGTGAAAGTCGGGAACGTGATAGAGAACAGCGTGAACAACGCAAAGTATACGTGGATAAAGAAAGGGAATGGGAAAGGGAAAGAGAAAGGGAAAGAGATAGAGACAGAGACCGAGATAGGGAACGTGAAAAAGATTGGGATAGAGACCAGGAAAGGGATAGAGATAGAGAGAGAGAGCATATACGAAATGAGCCTGATAATGTGCATGATATACGTAATGTAACACAACAGCATCAACACTATCAACAAAAACAGCAACAACAACACCATCAACAACAGCAACAACAGCTGCAGCAGCAACAGCAGCAGCAGCAACACCATCAACAAAAGCAGCGCAATAATGTTGAAGGCCGTTTATCGTTGATTGCCAACAATGAAGTTGCCGTCTTCGATGAAATCACAGAAAGTTGGAAAAGTAAGTACTATCCCCTAAGCTTATGCACCCTCACTGCCCTAGCACACCTTTCTCCGGTAGTAAAAGAAAATTGATTCGGGGATATCATTTGTTTACTTGAGGTTATTATTGGCGTCAATGGAAGTTTTTCCTACGTGTGTTTTGACAGTTTCTTTCATTTTCCGTTGGCAATGTATTTTATCATTTATTTGCATTTATTTTGTTGCTGTTGCTGTTATGTCGTGTTGTTGACGCACTTGTCTCGATAAATCTACAACGATTAAATATAATTGGAAAAAGATTTTTTTCTATTTTTTCGAAAATGAACTATATTTTTATCATTTCTGTGGTAATCACAATTTCAATTACTCAAATAAATATTTTTTCTTCAAATGAAAATAAATTAAACAAAAAAAAATCAGATGTTAATTTCAGATATTAAATTGTAACATTGAAGTTGACAGGACAACAATGAAAAGTTATGACTTTAAAGAACTAATTTCAAATTATTAGCCATCAATAATTATCTTTTTCATTTAGCAAAACTTTCTCTGCCTTTTATCCTTTTTTATCAATTACATTCACAAACAATAATTTCTGTATGACAATTCATATTGAACTTGTGAATTGAATTTTTAAGAGATTTTATTTGAATCCATAAACTATTTTGCCAATATTCCTTTTATTCCACAATACAATGTAAAAGTTTCACAGAACGTTAAAATTGATTTACTTACGCTTTCAATCATTCTCACACAAGGGCTATTCAAAAAGTTTAATTTTTCAATCAAAAGTTCTGTGTTAAATATTATTGTACCCTACATTTTAAAATAGTAATCTTAGTTATTCAGAATTACTGTACGACTATAATAAAAGAATTATTTTATCGATAATTCTACCAAGAGGTTAAGGTTTCTACATAGATTTGCTAACTGTTCATGCTACGTACTATTGATCCCAATATATACATTCAATTATTTGACAGTTTTGTTTTGAATTGTCTTTCGTGGAACTATATACGGCCGGTTACGTCGCCACTTCATAAGTATGAATTTGGAAAAATCCCATATCTGGATTTCGACATAACTACATTTACGTTCAGTTATGTCGCCATTTCATAATCCTATATCTCGATATCAAAATACGAGAAGTTCGATGGAAACGGTACAACGCACAAACTTACTGAGAAAGAATTTTTTACTTCTTCTATAGGATTAAAATCTTTTTGCTAAATATTCGCTTGTCACACTACATTACCAATTAGTAAAATTGAATATAAATTATTAATTAATGCATGAGCAAATTCCTACAGATTGCCAAGAATAAACGGAAGACATTTAGCTTCCAGATTTTCTATATCAAAACCATATCTTTGGAACTTATTAAATGAGACCGCCTGAATACTGTAAAGCTTACGGCAATTCTCTCTGGTCACTAGTGTATAGGAACCTAAATAAAGAACCTAAATGCGCATACATTTTAATACTAATTGTAAAAGTTATGGAAATTTGTAGAGAAAAGAAAGCATGAAACATTTTCTCTCTGAATGCCCGGCTTTAGCGTTCAAAAGAAATTGCATTTCTAAGAGAAGAGACAACTTATCAGACTATTCATCAATAGTGACGAAAGAACTATTAAATTACCCAAATTTAACGAAATGAATTTATCTATGGTTTAATTATCTTAAGAATTTTTGAGAAAAATGTGGAAGCAAAACGGCGAAATATCAATAATTGAGATCAATTGAAAACTATCTAATAACCTTTAAGGACAACAACAAAAATGCTGGCCGGTTTCCTAGTCTCAATAGATATACAGTCAAATGAATATTAAATAATTAAATAATTATTTGGTATCGTATTTCGATAATACGATTAAAGAATTCTAATACCTGCAGATTTTATAACAAACAAACCGAAACACACAATAGTATTAATTAGTATTATAAGGTTTATTAATAACTTTAATATAAAAATATTAAATGGTATTATTAGGTTAATTAATAATATTAATTTCCCCTGCTCAGCTGGTAATAAATAAATAAACTTTGGTCTATTAATAGTAACATACTCAACAACTACTTCAGATTACAGGCTTTATTAATTGATTTCTAATGTATAATCATACATTTACTTCTTTTAAGATCCATGGACGTACCTAGATAGGAGTAGGGGACGCTAGACCCAACCTCAACATTATCTTAATGTCTTATAATACTTTTAACAAAATATTAAATACTCTTCATTTTATTTGGCAATTATTATTATGCAAATGGTACAGTGGCAGTTCGAGTGTGCGCAGAACCTGATAGGTGGAACTAAAGAACTCACGCCAAAATAAATGTTATGTCAATATATCAACACCCCTACTAATTTTGCCTTAAATTCAGTAAATATTTTATATAAATCACTGATAATATATAATTTTATTATATATTAGTACATTGATTTTTAACGCCCGTTTCGACGAAAGATACTAAATTCTTAATATAAACTATTGTTTTCAATGGAGAGGTATATCTTACAGTATAAAATTACAACAACAAATTTTTTTATTATTTTTATTAATTAATTGAATTTTTGGCTGATCATCATCAGTGGTCTTGGAATTATTTTTTATATTTTATTATTCGTAAATAATTTTTTGAGATTATAAGTACCAAGGATTGAACGCATATCCTGCCAAATTTGAAGAGTCAAAGTCAGTATTAATTAGCCAACTGAGCTAAAGCCCTACCTTGCATATTCGAACTTGGAGTTTTGTTAATTTGCTGTGAAAGTTAATTAATAAATTCACTTGTTGTATTATATTAGAACGAAATCATAAATCATGTAACTTATTCTACAGCTGGTTTATAATTTCGTTCTAATATAGCACAGCAACTGAATTTGTTAATAAACTTCAACATCAATCAATTAATATTATTGTAGTCTAATTTTATACATATATATTTTTACTAATCATATCTGTATCTGAATTTTGTTTTATATCTATATATATATATCTGCATCTGTATGGACTGCCTTTAGCATAAAAGGACATACGCATAAACGGCTAAATTAGTATTTATCAATTAAATTATTAATAGGTATTACTTGGTAAAATGTAATCTTAACGATTTTCAAATCCATACTCATTATTAGACAAAGTTGTGATAATATCACAATTTATACTTAATGTACTATCCCCTATGCACAAAGGATCTTATTTTGTACGTTAATTATGGAAACCTACAAACACCTCACAATAATTGGTAATGGCAGCGTTTATCTTTACTTTTGTCAACAATAAACTCTTGTTGCCATGGAAAAGCTTAATTGAATTGCAAATCCTGCGTAATGAAGTGCAACGGAGACACATTACCAATATAGCCGCAACACTAAACTGCAACATGTTGCTAATGACAGAATAGATTATAAGGAAACCAAGGGAATAGAATTAATTGAAATTAATTGAAATTCATAGTCTGTAAATACGAATTATTGGAAATCAAATATATACCAGACATACTGAATTTTACTGTTGTATTGTGCATTTAAATTTGAGTGCTTCTCCTTACTTTTGCTTGATATGAATACAAGTGCTTATTTATCTAAAAGTTCATATTTTGAATTGAAAAAAAATAAACAATGACTCATTCTTCGCACCTTTTAGATTTGAGAGTAACAACCGACCCGAGTGCCACTAGAAATACTCCAGCTACAACAGCAACTGTAACAGTTGCAGCAACTGTTGCCGCCACAACACCCACAGCACAGCAAGCATCCTTGACACTGGCTGATATTAAAGATGCAAAACCTGAAGTCAACAGTTATGAGAATGAAACTGCAGTATTGTACAAGGATCATAAAAGATACTTAGACCGCAACTATGCAACAATAACTGCAGAGACGCGTCATGGTATTATAGGTAAGTTATTTCGTTGCCTTTAAGAAAATTGAAAATAAAAAATACCAAGCAAATAATATTATTCAATTGATAGAGTATGAAGGTTCACCACGTCGCATTGGACAAGTTTCAGCTGGCAATGCCAACGAAGATGAGCACATACAAGCAAACAAAGATACAACAGCACAAAAGTCAAAGGCTGCATCGTATTATGTGTCTACATCTGTTAACTCAAACTCACCGCAACAGTATCCGGCTAGACCAGGTTTTCCGCAAGTAAGTTGGAAGATAGTTAATATATATGCGAATTATTTAATTCTGAAAATTATAATATTGTTTTAAAACAGAATTGTTTTTACTTTTATTTATAAAAAATACTTAATTTAAATAAAAATTGCTTAAAAAAATTCTTTTACTCATTTAAATGTAAAATTTAAACTTTGTGTAGCGCATAATTTCACCACCGCGTGAAACGTCTCCGCCAATAATGATGCTTCAATATAACAGCAACAATGTGAACAACATCAACAACGGGAAACAGTTACTACAACAACACCAGCAGCCACAACTGCAAAATAATTCCCAATCGCTGCCACAACAACAATCTCCAACTGATAACAATGCCGAGGATACCAGTAATGACGTTTCTGAAATTGGCACAATTTCCGATCTGACCACACCGGATGGTGTATCTGCTGCTATAATTGCAGCAACATCGACAAATGTTGAGTTAACAGCAACGGCGCCAGTAACAGCAATAGCAGCACCAACAGCGGCAGCAGCAACAACAACAACAGCAACAAGCACCAGTATATTAAGCATACCTACAAAGTCATCAACCTTTGATTACCTTTATGAGTTCTCCGAGACACGAAAGGTGCTTGAAGAATTTTTCAAGTGTCCATCGAACGATGAAAAACCAATTGAAAATGGCAGCGATATTGACAGCATTGTAAGTGTCAACGTTAAAATATGAAAACACTAAAAGCAACGCAGTATCTGGGTTGAACACGTACATGACATTGTTCCCTTTTCGTATTTCATATATTTTGTGTATTTCTTTTTTTTTTTTTGTATAGGATATTCAGTATGAGTTTCACAGCAACTTGGATTGTGATGATGAGGACGAACATGAAGAGGAAGAAGACGAAGTTGACGATATTGAAAATGAGGATTTGCGACAAAATTTACAACGGCAAGAACAACAAAAACGACAGGACTTGCAAATACAAAATAATCACAATCAACACCAGCAGCAATATCAACAACAACAACAACAACACCTACAGCAACAGCAACAGCAATCGGAACATATATCAACACAATCTGAATACTCACAATATTCACAACAGAATCACAACAACTCATGTGCTATGAACAATCATCGCCGTCATTTCACTGGTAGTCCGCTGATGCGTGATTTTGATTTCTTTTTGGATTCGGCCAGCCGCAGCAGTGGTGAACAGATTGACCAACAAGATGGCATCAATCACAATCAATTGGATAACAGACACAATAACTATCGTTATTCTCCTGAAACAACTGATTACGATTCCAACTGTGGTGACTTGGATAGTAAGTGACTTATTTGCATACTAACATATTTTAAAGAATATAAACTTCAATTACAAAACTCTAGATTTACCTATATCATAACTAATTAAATTCATTATATTTTTTAAGGTCTTTCGGGTGAAATGAATGGAGTTTCCACTTCCTGCTCTAATTATGCTAAATATTACGCTTCTAGTATGCCCGTTCTAGAAGATGGTCTTTCATCTGGTCACACTTCGGATACTGAGAATAATAATAATATTAATAATTTGCAACAACCGCAACAGAATTCAGCCATACATCATACACCAATCGGTGGTGGCATTTCCATGTTAATGGATATGAAACGAATATCCACAAATAACAGCATTAATAGCATGAACAATATGATGTCAACTACTACTGACAGTAGCGAAAAACGTAGCGCATTATCTCCAAGCATAATACATGATAATTTTATACATAAAAATGATAGCCCAGTTAATGGTATACATGAAGATTCTGGTCGGGAATCTGTTCGATCCAGACGTGATAATCGAGATTTGCGCGAACCACATGATCGTGAAATACTTGGACAAAGTCCAACTAAAAATAATAATTGCAACAAAGTTTTTAAGAACATTGATCCCGAGCTGGATTCACTATATTCCATAAGTAAGTACAATATATTGAAAATTAATGTCATCGTTAAACATTGTTTCCCTTAACTTTGAGGAGATCTTCGAATGCTATAAAAATACTCTATCAAATCAGTATATAGCTCTTAACTAATGCTATTGTTTAATATTGTTTACTAGTTAATATATTGTTTACGAATAATTCTCTAACTAACAATTACACTACAGCGGGGAGGGAGGATACGGTCTTCTCTTCAATACAATTAACTAATTAAAAATCACATTGATCTTCAAATTTCTATTGCTCACAATATATCTAATCCCCAAATATCACTTCTATTTGTATACATATTATACAGTATACATTTGTATACAGTATACATATTATTTATGTAATGCTTTTATTTCCCTTCAAGATTTTGTCAGTTGTTACATAAAGCATAGAATCCGTATATATATTTTATATACTATATATAATTTATATTGTTAGCATATATGGTTGTTAGCATAGCTTTTATTTCATTTCAAGATTCTTTATTTATTCAATCTAAGAGAGGAAAACCAAAACATGTTCTGACGTAGGTATAAAATAAAAATAGTTATTAGCTGACGGTTTTATTTCGGTGTAAGAATTTCTAAACCCTTTAAAAATTGTTATTGTATAACATTTCCAAGAAGATTTTGAACGTTTTTTCTTTCTTGTAAATTTCAATAGTAGTGAGACACAAAGGACGTCTTTATAAATTTATTTGATGTTAATAGTTTAACATTCTTATATATCATTTTTCATTTTTATTATAATATTACTTAGGTGTATTTCATCGTCCTGATATGGTACAAATGACGCCACCACCACCAGCACCTGCACCTCATCGCAAGCCTAATATTATTAATGGAGAACAGGACATCCTACAACCAACACCATACAAAGAATTATGTTCTGGAACAAATGCGACATCTCCAACAGCTAAACCTGTTACATCTGTGGCAACAGTCATTAGCTCAAACATAAATCGCTGTAAAGCTACACAAAGCACTGCAGCAACTACTCAACAAACTATTTCGACAAGTCGTAGCATACACGCTCAACCGCCTCCAATACCAGAGCGTAACTTGCAGCGTTCACCTTCACCTGTGATGAATTCTCCAGTCTGGCTGGCACGTCATTTAGACAATAGTGCCAATAAAAGTTTATTAGAATCATCTTCAGAGAATCATTCCAAAAATTTAAGCGCTGATGAAGATGATGTAGATACCGACTTAGAAACAGATCGTCTGTTAGGCCATCAGCGACTTGACGATCAGGGCTACTACGATGAAAATAAGTCTTGGGAGCGTAAACCACGCTCATTATTATCAAAAATCTCACCAAAACAACAAATACCAAGCACAAAAACACGTAATGGCTATAATGCATTACTCTCATCCACACCGGAAATCCCACCGCCCATTCCACCGAAAAACTCATCAAATAAATTACTTGATATTGGCGGCTCTATGTCATCATCTGAACATATCGATAAATCGCCTATGAAGTCAATTGATGTACAAGACTGTGTTGTAACTATGGGCAGTCCAGTTGGTTCGGATGGTTCTGCTTGTATGAGTGGTAGCTCTAAGAAGGACGTCGATTTCGTTGGTAATACGAATGGTAGTCAAAATTGTAATACCAGCGTAACTAGCAACAATGTGAGTTCGAATAATACGAGCGGCGAGAAGAAAGTCAAAAAGAGTAAGAACAAAGAAGGTAAATGTGTTGGGTTTATCTTCGACTAAGTAGTGTCGTTTAACCAATTTTAGTCACAGTTCTTGTTGTTAATATTAGAATAGCATTTCTGTAAATGGGGAACAAACAAAAATAAAAAAAAATAAACAATTATTAATAAAAAAAAATTTTTTTTGCATATTAAAATTAATTTTGTATTTTATTTTAAAATTTTTTATTTGTAGCAAAATTAATATATTTTAAATATAAAAGAATTTGTATATAAATTGTATTGTACATTTTGAATTTTATATTTTATATAATGTCTCCATTTACAATTGTTATTTATAATTTCTACAACATTTACGATTTCTACTGTATTTAAACTTAATTGCTAATATAATTTATATTTTTGCATGCTTTCCGTTTCGTTTAAATTTTAACGAAATGATTTTGTGTACTGCTTTCAAATCGTCGTCTTCGAATTCGTTTCATTTGTAAGATAATATTTCTTTATGTTAAATATGTAACTATAAATGTATAATTTTACTGTATTATATTATAAATAATAATAATTTGTAGCTTATTTATATATAATATATGTAACAAAAATGTACAAGTAGAAAACCGCAAGAAATTCCCAAACAATTTACTAACGATTTTACTTATCAAATCCAACTTAAGGTGGCGCAGTGCTCATTGAAGGTGTGCTTTTCCGTGCGAAATATTTGGGTTCTACGCAATTGGTATGTGAAGGACAACCTACTAAATCCACACGCATGATGCAAGCCGAAGAAGCTGTCTCCAGAATTAAAGTAAGTCTCTTTTATTTATTTTAATTAAATATATTTTAATTAGTCTCCGCTATTTTAAATTAATGAAATTTAAATTATTTTTATAAGTAGTCAAAGAATTGGCAAAAAAAACCCGCAGTCATTTAAAATAAAAATTTTTTTCATCTCATTTTTTTAGATAATAAATAACAAAATATAAAAGAATTTCTTAATGAATTTTTACAGCAAATTAACAAAGTTCAAACATACAAGTCAAGTACAGCTTTGAGTTGATTAGCTAAAAAACACTGACTCTGAGCTTCAAATTTGGCAGAACACGAATTTAATCATTGGTACTTGCAATTTTAAAAAATTTAATTACTAATAATTATAAGAAATTATCCCAAGACCACTGATGTTGGATATTTGGAAATACTCGAAACAGCTGTATGGTCAGCCAAAATTCAATTAATTAAAATAATATAAAAAGAATTTTTGTTGTTGTAGTTCACTACTTTTCAAAACCTCTCTAAAAAAAGTTTGTCTTATTTAAGAATAGCAAAGAGAGTTAAAATATAATTATTTAAATAATCCAATAGTTATT